CGGCAACCACATGTGACGACCCCGGGCTGGACTCCGCTTCGTCCACAGTGAAAGCCGATCCGGCGATCCACAGCACGAAGTTTAAGTATTTCCTCAGCGACCAGCACGGATCAGCTCTAGGCATGACGAGGCGATATCATCCTCTTTTGGAAGGCCAAACAAAGTAGTTTCGCTTTCACAACGAAGCACACAGCACCTTCACGACATGGTGGTGGCAACAATACTACAGCGAGAATAAAAGTTACGCCTTCTTTCTTTGCGTGAACATTTGGGCGGCGTTATGCAAATCTTCCCAGATAGTGACGTAGGTGTGTGGGGGCGTGTTAGAACGAGCCGTTTTAGGTAGGTGTGGCTGACTCTTAACTTTTATAAAGAATATCTCTTTGGATTTGAGACTTTAGTCTTTGCAACTTTACAGATCTTCTTAATGCACCAAGAGCTTGTAACACTCCAAAGAGAAAGGAAAAATTGAAATCGCATCATATGACCCCTTTAAAGGATTTTCAGGAAAACATAAAACCTAAAACTAATATGAAACAGTTCTTTAAACGGCACAGTTATATTATGTGCACTTATAACATAAAAATTCTTTTGAAAGAATAAATGTTCCATGTTGTTTTTCAACATTGTTTTTAAAGTTTTAAAGTAGATGAAGGATAGCATGTTATACTGCTGTGACTGCTAGACGTGTCATGTCAGAATATACTCAATATCGAAATCTTATTTTATTGCAAAATGTATGTTAAATTTCATTTTCTATGTATTCCAACTGTCTTTTTTTTTTCATCAGTCCTCAAGAGCTGGCCTTAGAAATCAAGGCTTTCATAAGTGGAGTTGACCAGACGCAGGGACGTAAACTCAGCGTTCGGGATCATGCCCGCTGTGCAGTGCGCCTCCTTCGAACTGTCCCAGCCTGCCGTGGAGCCGTCTTGGAGCACTTAAGGGGAGTGTATGATGAATATGTTGCAGCTTTTCTGCAAGACCTGGAGGCAGAGGGTGAAAATGGTGGTAACAGTACAAGTGGAGGAGGCAGCACCAGTGTATCCAATTTGGAGGACGTTATTAAAGAAGTACATGCAGTCCTCTCTGAATTTATCAAACTTAGTCCTAAAGCTTGGGCTCCCCTTGTGTCCACATGGGCCATTGACCTTCTTGGTCAGCTTAGCAGCAAGCATGCAGGACGAAGGGCGGCTCCTCACTCGTCCAGTCTGAATGAGCTGCTGCAGCTTTGGATGTCGTGTGCAGCCACTCGCTCACTAATGGAGTGCTACTCCCAGTGTCTAGCAGCCATGTTGGCCTGGTGCCCCGATGCCTGTGTGGATGCCTTGCTGGACACCTCTGTCCAGCACTCCCCTCATTTTGACTGGGTCGTTGCCCACATTGGTTCAGCTTTTCCTGGCACTATCATCAGCAGGGTGCTGGCTTGTGGCCTCAAAGACTTTTATGCGCACGGATATTCCTCTGCTGAGAAGATCAACCAACAGCAGGCAATAGACAAGAGCAGCAGAGTCCCCAAAATAGGCTCAGTGGTTGGTATCCTTGGGCACTTGGCATCCAGACATTCTGATAGCATCAAGAAAGAGCTTCTCAGGATGTTTCAGGATAGTCTGTCTCCACCCCCTCAAAATGTACCTCCGCATTCATCCGGGGCAGGCAGGTGGGAGAACTCCCCTCATCTCCGTAGGGCCACTGTACCTTTTTTGCTTCAACTGGCTGCTCTTTCCCCCACTCTCCTGGGTGCTGTTTCTGCAGAACTGGTGGAGTTTCTCAGTCCACTCATCCTAATACAACTCCAGGCTCAGTTCCAGGCCTTTCCACGGGAGGAGCTCGAGAATATGTTGGGTCTAGCGGTGCATCTCATAAGCCAAAGCCCTTCGGGTGGAGCAAGGGTGCTGAAGTTCCTTGCAGACACTGCTACACCATCTTCAGTGATCATATCAGGCCCTACACCCTCTCCCCATGATAGTATTCGAGAAGCCTGTGACCGCTTACTGCAAATGCTTCTGCTACATCTTCACAAGCTGGTGCACAACAGACCAGAGGGTGATGAACCCTTCCCACAGTCCTCTGGTGCCACAGCAATGCCGCAAGTTATCCCATTTCTAGAGGAGCTCCAGGGACACATAGGTGATCTGTGTGCTGAAACCCTCCGGCTTGAGCGGAAAAGGCATCTCTGGTTGCATCAGCTCCTGTGTCTGCTATCAGTGTATGGAGGCCCAAGCATGGCCACTGAAGCTTTGTGTCAGCTCTTCACCCAAGCCCGAAACCCAGAGGAACTTGCTCTGGCCTCGCAATTGTATACCCCACTTTCCACTTCACTTTCAGGGTTGCTTTCTTCAACAATATCCCGCTGTGTTGCCCAGATCCACACTCAAACCCTTGACAACAAAGAGTTGGCTCAGCTCCTGAACAACCTGGCTACTGCAGTACAAAGTCAAGAGGAGGACCGTAAAAACGGAGTGGCTGCAATGGGGAGTTCGGCTCAGTCATCGATGGCCGCACAAGTCAGAGTCGCCGTCTCCAGCCACCTTCAGGATTTCTGCCCATTGCTTCTCCATGGCGACACCATGGTATCCAAGGCGGCTGTCCATCTGCTTTCGTGTAGCCAGCTTCCCAGAACTTGCTCTCCAGCTCATCTGTTGCTGATATGTAGAGCAGCGGTGTCTCACTTCTTTGTTTGTTTACGACAGCAAGAGGAGGGTCTTAGGGTAGGGGAAGAGGAAGTGGGCTACTCCATGCGACTGCTGTCACATGTTGCAGCCTACTCTCCTTTGACGCTTAAAGCTGTGCTGCAACAACTGGTGGAGGGAGCCCTGCACAGAGGCAACCGAGATTTGTTTGGAGGTCTGCAGGAGAACCCAGGTGATGACACCACGCAGTCATCCAACCTTGTTCCAGACTTAGGCATCTCCCTCTTGGACATCAACTGCAAATTTGGCACCTCTGTTAACTTCTCTGGTGGTGTGTGGTCCGTTTTCCACGCTGGAGTAATCGGAAAGGGTCTGAAACCTCCATACTCTCCTTCACAACCTGACCCAGATAGAGTCAATCAGAACATGCAGACCTTGTTTGCGGTCATGGTTCAGTGCTGTAGTTCAGGTGGAGGAAGCCCTAATGGCAATGCTAGAAATGGTTCAGCTGGAGATACTGGAAATGGCCGCTTCGCTGTCAGTGAACCTTTCATTTCTGATGAACTTCCCCCAGTTAATGCTGAAGCTGCAAAGGTAATTGCTGTAACTCTGGTGGAGAACATTTGTCTGGATGTAGCAAATGGAGAACTGTCCTGGCCTCCAGAAGAACATGCGAAAACCACTGTTGAGCGAGACATACACATTCGTCGTTGCTTTGAAGGAAATCCTGTTCTGTTCCATCTTCTCCGTGTAGTTGCAGCTGGACGTCCAGCTCTCTGCTACTGCTCCGTCATTTTAAGGGGTCTACTTTCCACCTTACTTGCTCACTGGGAAGCATCAAGAGAGCCATCAGTGTTGGACTCCCCCTGGCATCTTCAGACCTCCTGTTTGCTTGTATCATGTATGGGTGAAGGCCAGCTGCTACCACCAGTGTTGAGTAACATCCATGAGGTTTTCCCTCACCTCTCTCCCTTTGAAGTTAGGCTACTGCTGTTGGGTGTATGGGAGTACATGTGGGGGAACAGCCCAATGCCGCAGAAGTTCTCCTTCTGTGCTGACCAAGGACTTTTCTTTCGGGACTTTTCACGGGACGGCGATGTTGCACGCTATATTGCACCCATCCACAGTGTTCTGCATAAGAACATTGAGCGCCTGGGACACCTTTGTTGGAGGTTCCAAATTTGACAACTGTTAAAATAAGAGAAGTGGTGTTATAAACCCGGGTTCTAAGGTCACAGACTTCTTGCATTCAGATATTTTTCTACATATTGTTAACTTTAAATGTGAAGTTGATATTTCTACGTTTTAAGAGTTGTCAATGTCAATAAAATAGTAACAGATAACCACTTTAAAGCCTAATTGTGACAGTGTTAGGAACTGCTTTTCTGTTAACCATCAGATCTGTTTTTGTACATTTATATTGTCTAGCTTTCTGTAGATTTTTTAAGCACTGAAAAAAGGTTTATGCCTACAGCAGAATATAAGAGACCTCAAAAATTCTGTTTTTGCAATTCTGCACATTGTCTGTTGTTGTTGAGTGACCATAAAAATAAAAATGCATTCATATACCTCTTATTCTGTTGTTAATTTTACAGTACTAGCACTATAGTTATAAAATGAAAAGGTAAAAGCTACATAAAAGTAAAGGCTGCGTGGTTTTAACCAATGGCATACACAGGTTTTGTGCTGTTAGTAGGCCATGTCTAATCTTTATCATCAAAGATCTGCCTAGTTAAAACAAACTAGAACTCGACATGAAACGAACCAATGATGCCTGCCTATCTGTTATATAATATAGTCATCACACAATTATCTTGTGTACACCAGCATGCACGTCAGATGGATTCGTTTCCATGGTAAGTGCGGTCTATAGGGATTCGTTGTTACCCAATAGTGTTCCTGCAAACACACTAACCAACCAACCTCCGGGAGGCTGGGTTTAACGCTGTGTCCAAGATGGCGGTTATCTCCATTGAAAGGTAAAACAAAAGACTAAGCTATCATATCAGTTCGTCGTTAAGGCTTTTTTGAATTTCCTCTTTCTTTATTTTAAGCTAACCGACGGGCGGCTCGTGTGAGATCTGGGCTGTAAATCTGCTGCAGGTGTTGAACGAGCAAGCAAATAGTGGATGTGAATGCGTGGCTGAGCCATCGCTGGCATTATGACGAGTCATCTTTTAATTTACATGACATTGATGTCTTTATACAGCTTTATGGTTGATGTAAAATAGTACAAACGAATATCTTGTATATTGCATTGTTTATTTGCGCATGCATATCTTTTATATTGCATTGTTTATTTGCGCATGCAAAGATCATCCTGGCGTTGATCTTTTTTTGAAAGGCAATCCGAAGGTCGAGTTTGTAGTTTGATCGGTGTGCAATGCTAGATAAAATCTAAAGAGTTTACAGATAGTTTTGTCCTGCACATAGTTGAGACCAACATTGACCCATATTTCTTAATTAAGAGAAAGTTACGCTTTATGGAGTGCACGAGTATATACCATAATAAATTCACAGAGCAAATACAGCTTTTTGAATTATAGTTGTTTTTAATGCATCTTAATGGCATCTCAGCTGCCATTCTGCCAGGTCCTGTGAAGGGACTCTGATCTCCTTTGGATTGTGAGCAATAGCTTTATTGTCCTATCTCTCTCTCTCTTTTTTTTTTTTTTTTAACTACAAAGAAATTAAGAATATCTGTAGAAAATGTATGAGATTGTGTTACGTTCAAAGTGAAAAGGTTGCATTGGTGGATAGTAGATAAGGCAAAAGTACCTGCCACTGTGGAAATGCATGGGTGATTGTGGGTGTTAATTTCCCACCCTGATCCCACATTTAATTACAGACAAGAAGAATTATCCTCAAGGGTGGCAAATAAGGAAATTAATGTAGCACAGACTCTTATTGTTACTCCGCCCTGCTCATTCATTACTCAAACTTGATCCAAAGCAGAAGCCTATTTTAGTTCAAACTTTCTCCTCTTGTACTTTTTTAGGATGGGGCTGCTGTCTGTATTCTGTGTGTGTCTGTTTTTTAGCAGCGCCTTTGCTGTGGATCGGGGAAACTTTAAAACCTGCGATCAGAGTTCCTTCTGCAAGTATGTCAGTTATACTGTTAATCACTACATTATAGGTACACTACACCTCTGCAGTGTACAACTAGGATTACATGTTAAGAATACTGTGAAAGATAACAAATAAATATTATTGGATTATTCTGACATGTAAGATTGAAGTTATCCACCGTATATTCTGTTGTGGTAGTTTAGAGAGTTCTTGACTTGCATCAGCAAAGGCACCAGAGACACAATGATTTTTGTCTCTGTTTGTCCGTAGACGTCAACGGGCACTCAAGCCGGGTCAGTCCCCATACCGAGCTCTTCTGGAAACTTTGGAGCTCAGTGACTCCCGACTGACCCTCCAGCTCATCAATGACAACAATAAGGTCTGTTTCATGCTCTCCTTTAACTGATACCTCTGAAAACAGTATTTTTTGAATTTCTTAGTTAAAAGATCTGCGGAATTTCTTGATATTCAGTGCTTCATTAATTTTGCTCAGGGTCATCTAGTCCCAGAACAATTTTTTTATTTTTATGGTCAAACTAGAGAGGTAGTTAGTCTGACCTTCTTGTTACGTGTCCTGGGATGATGGCCCTGCTCAAAGGCCAGGATTTTGGCTGATTTGGTCTGCTCTCTTGCTGTTTGCAGGTGCACTTGCTGTTGGAGTTGTACAGACTGCAGGGGAATATGACTCGGGTGAAAATAAATGAGCTGAAACCTCTGAAGCCGCGCTTTGAGGTGCCAGACGTGCTCATAGCAGAGCCTCCTACTGAGCCGTGAGTGTGTCTCTGATCTGAGAGTGCACAATGAAATTCAGAGAACAGTCAAACACATGCTTGATTTATTGTGTTCCTCTGAGTAACCTCAGCTCGTCTCTGCTTCTTTCCTTTGCCTCTGATTCCCCTGTCTGTCCGTTTCTCTCTCTCTCCATATCTCTCTTTCTCCAGTCTCTCAGTGTTGTCCAAGGATGATAATGGCATTGTGTTGTCTCTGGGAGCAGAGAGCCAGAGGTTGATTGTTAGTGCCCGTCCATTTAGGCTGGACATCATGGAGGGGCCAGAGGTGCTGCTATCCCTCAATTCTCGTGGCCTGCTAGCCTTTGAGCACCTGCATCTTCGCAAGGACACGTAAGTATTGAGTTTTTCTCTCCTAAACTGGGATTTATTTGGAAGCTGAGGAGAATACCTATAGACTACCTTTGAAAAGTTTGGGTCCGTAAGGTTTTGAATGTTTTTGCTCACCAAGGCTGCATTTATTTAATCAGAAATACAGAACAATCAGTAATATTGCAAAATAGTATTACAATTTAAAATAACAGTTTTCCATTTTAATATAATTTAAAATGCAGTTTATTCCTGTGATGGTTTCAGCAGCCATTACTCCAGTCTTCAGTGTCACATGATCCTCAGAAACAATGTTGAAAACAGTTGTGCTGCATAATATTTACAATTGGAAACTGTGATACATTTTTTCAGGATTCTTTGATGAATGAAAAGTTTAAAAGAACAGCATTTTTTTGAAATGGGAGTCTTTTGTAACAATGTAAGTCATTTTTGGTCAAATTGCTGAATAAAAGTATTAATTTCTTTAAAACAATTGTATTGACCCAATACTTTTGAATGGTAGTGTAGTTGATGGAAAATATTTTTTCTACAAGGATTTAAAAGGATAGTTCACCCCAAAAGTACCCCTGTACTCTCCCATAAGCAGGGCAAAGTATTGGATAGTTTGCTGCAGAGTATAGGAGATTTTGTAAATGTCAGTGGTGAATGCAAACGATTCACTACTTAAGCCTTACTATTGTTATTCTCTCTTTTGTGTGTATGTTGGGTGTGTTATCAAAGGCAAGCCAAACCAGATGGTGCTGAGGTTAAAGAGAGTGTAGATGGAGATCAACAGCAAGATGAAGGCGAGAAGGTCAGTAGCTGTATTCGTGCATTTGTGGGTGTGCTCAGGTAAATGATACTACAACAGGTTTCACTGTCATCTTGCCACGTCTTCACTTAAAACCAACATGTCCGGTTGCTGTACCTGATCAGGTTTAGCAGCTTTATGGAGCGGTTGTGCAACACTAACGTGTGTGAAAGTACTATAGTAACTAAAGAAGTATGACCTGATAATCATCACATTGAGAATTTTTTTTTCTACACAATAGGATGAGGATGGAGAGAGTGATAAAGAGGAAGACGGACTGTGGGAGGAGACATTTAAATCTCATACAGATACCAAACCAAATGGTATGTTTCTACATCAGTTCAATTTCCAAGAAACCGCTTGACGAGTGCAGTTTTTAAATTGGTGTTCACGTGTTTCCTATTGAAACAGAAAGTTTGGGTGAAGCATCTTGAAGGGTTTATTCCTTTTTTTAAGTAGCCAGCCTTCAGTGTCACATGATCCTTTAGAAATCATTCTAATATGCTGCTTATTGTCAATGTTGAAAACAGTTGAGCTGTAACATTTTTGTGGAAACTGCGATCGGACTCTTTGATGAATAAAACATTAAAAAGAACAGTATTCATTTGAAATATAAATCTGTTGTAACATTATAAATGTGTTTGTCACATTTGACCATTTGATTTAAAGCATCCTTGTGGCATAATAGTATTAATTTCTTTAAAAAAATCTTACTGACCCCAAACTTTTACTTCTAACAGTTAATGTAGTCAACTTTTTAGCATACACTGTAGCATATTAGAGCATATTGATGGCCTCCAAGCTATCAGAGATGGACTTAAACTTTTATTACATGTGGTCTTACACACAATAATGAAATGTTAATATTTATATTTGAAAGTTTCACTAAGTTGAATGTTATTATTTGCGATAAGATGGCATACTAATGAATATCATTTGTTGATTTTGTTTTCAATATTTTTTTTTAGGCCCCACATCGATAAGTTTAGACTTCTCCTTGCCTGGTGTAGAACATGTATATGGTATTCCAGAGCATGCTGACGACCTAAAACTCAAAACTACAGAGTGAGTATACATCTTAATGTACAGAAATCAAAATATACCACCAATGAAACAGTTAGCAGTAAAGTATATATATATTTTTTTTCTTCTTCTAGTGGTGGTGATCCTTACAGGCTTTATAACCTAGATGTGTTTCAGTATGAGCTCTATAACCCTATGGCCTTATATGGATCCATACCCGTCATGCTAGCCCATAACACACAGAGAACCATGGGTATTTTCTGGCTTAATGCAGCTGAGACCTGGGTGGACATCAGTTCTAATACAGCGGGAAAGGTAAGAGGTCGCTAGGCTCTCTATATTATAATCTCTTATTATAGTGTATTTTAAAAATCTTTTACTCTTAACTTTGTTACTTTTGTCTTTTTCTTTCAGACTGTCTTTGGTAAGATGCTAGATTTTGTTCAAGGCTCCAGTGAGAAGCCACAGACGGATATCCGTTGGATCTCTGAGAGCGGTATCATTGATGTCTTCATCATGCTTGGGCCCAAACCATCAGATGTCTTCTCACAGTATGCCTCTCTCACAGGTAATTGCTCTAAACTACACCAAAACCCTTCCCTTCAGGCTTGAGTCAGAAATATTGTGGGTCTTTTTTTCACTCTCTAGGCACCCAGTCCTTCCCTCCCCTCGCCAGTCTGGGCTATCACCAGTGCCGCTGGAATTATAATGACCAGGAAGATGTGAAGTCAGTGGACCAAGGCTTTGACCAACATGACATCCCTTATGATTTCATATGGCTTGACATAGAGCATGCAGATGGCAAGCGCTACTTCACCTGGGATCCCCACAAGTTCTCTCAGCCTAAAGAGATGCTTCAGGGCCTAATGGACAAGAGACGCAAGGTCAGCCACAGTTGTTGTAAAACTACAGTATGGAATGATTTTCTTCTAATCATTCTATATATATATATATATATATATATATATATATATATTAAAAAAAATATTATTTTGTGATGATAATTTTGTTTGTGAACAGATGGTGGCTATAGTAGACCCCCACATCAAGGTTGATAGTGGCTACAAGATCCACAGCGAGATTACTTCTAAAGACTTCTACGTTAAGAACAAAGATGGCAGAAATTATGAAGGCTGGTGCTGGCCAGGTGGGAAGTTTGTTTTTAAATGTTGTTTACTTATACAGTACCGTTCAAAAGTTTGGGGTCTGTAAGTTTTTTTTATTTTTATTTTGTTATTTGAAAAAAGTCTCTTGTGCCCACCAAGGCTGCATTAATTTGATATTGATATTTTGATATTTTAAAGTGTAATTTATTCCTGTGATGACAAAGCTGAATTTTCAGCAGCCATTACTCGCCATTACTCCAGTCTTCAGTGTCACATGACCCTTCAGAAATCAGTCTAATATGCTGATTTGCTGCTTGAGAAATATTTCTAATTATCAATTTTGAAAACAGTTGTGCTGCTTAATATTTTTGTGGAAAATGTTATATATTTTTCCAGGATTCTTTGATGAATAGACAGTTCAAAAGAACTTAAAAAAAAAAAACGTAACAATGTAAAAGTCTTTACAGTCACTTTTGGTTCATTATTTCATGCAGACTAGATTGTTTGTGAAGTCATAACTCTGTTTTTTCTTTCTTGTCTCAGACCTCTTTGGGTTGATTATCCCAAGGACACAGCAACTTTCACCATTGATGATGAATTCCTAATTGGTGAGAGATAAAAAAAAAAAAAAAGTAGTTTTTAGTAAAAAAAAAAAAAAAATCACATTTATAATGTGTTCTGTTTTTTTTGTTGTTTAGGAAGCGATTTGTTGGTTCACCCAGTCACTGAGGAAGGGTCTCGTGGGGTCACAGCCTATCTGCCTGGAGCTGGAGAGGTGATACTGTAAACTTAAATACTGCATGAATCAAAATCTCTCTCTTTCAGGAAATGCTGATAAAATGCTAGCTAGAATGAGCATATTTACGCCAATAATATTTTCTACCACCAGCTTTGTTGTTCATGCCAAAACTTTTCTTATCATGGGGGCTTAAACGTTAAAATTAATGGAAATGTATATAATATGTTGAATGGTACATTAGATTAACTCGTGTTCATTTACTCACATTTTCAGCATGATGCTTCATCCTGTTTTCCTTTTTTCCATATTTAGGTTTGGTATGATGTCCACACCTTTCAAAAACACAATGGCGCACAGAATCTCTACATCCCAGTCACTCTTAGCTCTGTAAGAGTCATTCCTTGTTCAAGAAAAACATGTTTACTTGAGTTTTATATCCACCTCATCATTTATTTGGTGTTAATTTTTGTTTTAGATCCCGGTGTTCCAGCGTGGTGGCTCTATCATCCCTCGTAAGGACAGAGTTCGAAGGTCATCTGCCTGTATGGAAAATGACCCATACACCTTGTATGTGGCCCTTAGCCCTAAGGTAAAGAGCTAGTTCTTTCTGTTGACTAATTAAACAAATTGTATAATTTAATTGAATTGGAAAAAAAAGAGTATTTTAACTTTTCTTCTCTCTATCTCTCTTTCTTTCTCTTTTTTTCACACACTTTTTAGAAATTTGCTGAAGGCAAGCTCTACATTGATGATGGCCATAGTTTTAACTATGATACAAAGAAAGAATTTATTCACCGGAGCCTCACTTTTGCCAATAATGCTCTCACCTCCAGGTATTTATATTAATCTGTCCTTTACTTATCTGCTTCATTGTCCAAACATTTTTGGATTCAATTCTATAAAAATACTTTCCTTCATCTCAGCAACCTGTGCCCAGTCTGTAATTTCTTAACCTCATCATGGATTGAAAAAGTTCTCATTCTGGGTGCCAGCAAACCCAGCAAGGTGGTTCTTAAAATGGATGGTAAGATATTTATTCAGTTCTCCTGAACATTGTAATAAGAGAAAATAATATCTTATATTACAATGAAAATGACCTCAGTGTCTGAGTTTATATGGCATGCTAATCTTCTCATACTCTCTCAAACAGGCAAAGAAACCCCTGTGGACTTTGAGTTTGATTCTTCCATGTCAGTGCTAACCCTCCGTAAACCTGGGATGAATGCTGGGGACGACTGGACCCTGCTGCTGCAGTAGCTCACTGCTGGATCTCTACAGTGGCTGGGGCCAGATGACATGAGATCAAAAAACAAAAAAAAATCACTTGAAAATTTCATCAGTTGAAAATTTCACTCTTAATTCATAAACACATTGAGCACTTACAAATTCAACAATTCAAAAGTGAACAAGTGGTGCAGTGGGTCATAGATATTTCTCAGTGCTACAAAGAAATGGATCCAACTGGCAGGGTCAGACAGTACATGCTTTCCATTTTAAATGTAGTAATGTTGTTGAAATGTCAAAAGCTTTGTTTTTAATTTCGTGTAGTGAAAAGTAGTATTAAAATCAGATTAACTGAATCATACAGTGGCTTTAAATCATTTCAGGGCAGCAAATGAGAGTGTTAATTGTATTTAAACTCTCGGAGCACAGTGAAAACCCAGTCATTACTGAAGTGAATTGGTCTTTAACAAATAGATTTGCTCCTTTTCAAAGATAAGACAACACAACAGGTTCACAGATCAATGCTATTTTTCCTATTAGATTGTTAAAATGTTAAAGCTCTAGAAAATGGTTTAACTATGATCATATCAGGGGTTTTAGAGTTCAGTTTTGAAAAAGTAAGTTCTTCATTGGAGACTAATAAGCTCTATTTGCTTATGGCCTATTTAGTTAATTTGACGGGGGGTCTTGGGTTTGGATTGTTTTACAGGGGAATAACCCACTAAATCAGTGAGTTTATTTTGTCTTGTTGCTTACATTTTTGTTTTCTAGAGCACTTGAATATGCTGTTTTTGGTGTGGGTAGGGTGGTTTATGTTTTGTGCCCGCAAAGCAGAATGAAATGGTCAGGCACTTATAATCATTCCAACCTAATCTACTGTGATGGTGAAGATGATTTGTGGAGTTAATTTTGTCATCCACTATAAAATTATTGATCTCGTCAAAATGACTGAAGTAAATGTTTTAAGCAGGGCCGCTCATGAAGGAGGGCTTTGTGTACATTCCCGTTTGACCATTACTGCTCTGTGTTGCTGATTTTCCACTTGTTTCATTCCATTTTTGAGGGTGACCCTGAAATCTGAAAATGTGAGGCAAAAGGTAATGTCTACAGTTCTGATTAATGAGTGTTCAAATGAGATGGTAATAAAAATTGCTGTACATTCCCAACTGCATTTGTTTGTCTTCCCTCATCTCTATGGCAGCACATTCATGGAAAATATTAAATTAACGTTTCGATTTGAAAAGCAAGTTATACCTAATTAAATAATTTTATGATAGTTGCTTATTCCATTTAAAATGATCTGCTTGAGATTAAATGGTATTAAGCAATAATACTTAAATAAATTATGCCTTTTTTTTATATTCATAGAACTACAAAATTGTTTGAAGTTATGTATAAACAAAAGTGGCGCCAGACTGTATTTAATTTTTTAAAATTATTAATCATTGTCACTTCCACTCAATTGAAAAGCTAAAATTAAGGTATAATTTTATGAACTTAATGTCTAATGTTTTTACGTTTGACATAAGGTAGCTCAACACTCCTTGGAAGCAGTAGGGGTGGGCGATATGGCAAAAATATCACGATTGATAAAAATCTTTGTCTATTTTATCTTTGCTATTAAAAAATAAAAACAAAGATACATACCAATACACATAATATACAAATAAAACAAACAGTGCTTTATTCTTCAGGTAGGCTACAGTAGGTGTATTTAGCAGTAGCTTTCAAGAATTTGAATTAACAAATATAAAAATAAAACGCTTTATACACTATATACATCAATTATACACTGATTCGTATTAAAACAACTATTAGTTCAGACTCTATTACTTCATTCAACAGCAGTGTGTGATTTTTCTTTGTTTTGTTGTTTTAATAACATTAAAGGGATAGTTCGCAGACAAAAAAAATCTGTCATTTACTCACGTTCAAGTTGTTTTAAACCTGAATGAGTTTCTTTCTTCTGTTGAACATTAATATTATTTTGAAGAATGTGGGTAACCAAACAGCTGCTGGTGCACTTTCACAGTATTTTTCCCCCTAGTATTAAAGCCAATGGGTACCAGTAACTGTTTGGTTACCCACATTCTTCAGAATATCCTTTGTGTTCAGCGCAAGAAATAAATTAATACAGATTTGGGACAACTCGTGAGTAAATAATGACAGAATTTACATTTTTGGGTGAACTCTCCCTTTAATGACAAGTGGCAGCATGTTTTACTATTGTCTGCTGTGCACACATCTATTTACAAGCACACATCCTTTTTCTCTCAACTGTTTACTTTCACTTTAGACATAACCAACTGTGTTTATATGTAAACCGTGTGTGTTTTTGACAGTATTAGCGCAACCAGATGCGAAAGAGAACTTAGTCCAGCAATCGGGCGCTGTTTGACAGGCTTTTTAGCTTGCTTGTGCTTTAGATGTACGCGCTCAGAACAGCACACAAATGAAATGTTTAACCGGCAAGGCTTTAAAGCACATGTAAATAATGTACTTTTGTGATTGCGAATAAGTGTAGTGTCCCGTGAGTGTAACTACCGCCGAGTTAACATTTGATGTGAATGTGTGTCGCTTCGTACAGAGACGGAGGCGCCAGAACTGCAACTGATAGAATTTGCGCTGTAGCGCGATACTACTATATTTCTTCAGATGCACATCGTGAAGACATTTTAATCATCCACAATCAAAAATCGTCATATTGCACACCTCTATTTCCAAGTAGAAGGTGGGAAAATCCGAATTTCGGTTTTGGAACGCAGCATTATGGCAGTGGTATGACGATACAGACCTTGCTATCGACATTCTACTGCGACAAAAAAAAAAAAAAATCTACTGCGACAGTAAAATGAAAGAGCAGGGGTCGCACATTATATGCGTAATTTGTTGTGTGGTCAATAATGGCGGCGGAAAGCACAGAGGACCTGGGCAACAACGCGGAACTCACAAACCCTTCAGGTTTCCCTTTAAAAGTTACCTAATAAAATACCGAGTTTGTAAGCATGTGTGAAGAGTTTGTCGCATTCATTTCTTAAACATTTCTTAATATAGCTAGCGATGTACATAACTATTGATTTATTGATTCATACTTGAGCATTGTTATCCCATATAACGTTAAGTTGTTTGACGCGTTCATGATAAGGTTAATACGAAGATTAAGTTGCAGACTAACCTTTATAAATGGTTCATTAATAAATCACCTGTCGTCAACAAAATATGTAACACTTTGTGTCCAGGAAGATTATAGCGAGACCAAAGCGAGATTCAATGTTACCAATTGTAGTATCATAGGTTCACTAGGATAAACTATTATTACCCCTGTATTCTACATCATAACACAATTCAATTATTGAATTATTGAATTGAATTAAACTGCAGTCTATTTAATCAAATGCATTGCTTTCAGTTACAGAGCTTTATGAGCCTGAGGTTGCAGACCTTCCCAAGCCAGATGTTGAGGAGTCAGCGCAGAGTGGTGCGGATGGAGGAGACACAGGTGCCCCAAAGGCATCCTACACAGTAGAAGGAGAAGAAGAGGAGGATGAGGGAGAGATGCCTACAGACTTCGAGAGACTTTGGAAACTTACCAGCGACAATCCTCAAGATTTCAACAGCTGGACTGACCTCCTGCAGTATTGTGAACAAGAGGTGAATGTGTTGTAAACAGATTGCAGTGCTTTGTTATTGGGACGGCACCAAAATGTTAGTTGGTTTTATGTTTTTCATTTCATTATTTATTGCAGTGCCACATGAGAGCTTGCCGTCAAGCCCTAAATGTGTTTCTGCTGAGGTATCCTCTGTGTTACGGTTACTGGAAAAAGTTTGTGGATCTTGAGAGACGTGCCGGTCACATCAATAAGGCTGAAGAGGTAAGAACATGCATAGATGGACATTTCAGTCAAATACGAAAGAACAGGAACAATCTCCAAACAGAAAATTACTTCAGTTATGGTTGTCATACTATTGTATTCACTTTTCTGCAATTGTGTAATATTTAAAAATGATTTGTAGATAATATTGCAGTGGAGATGTAAAGCTGTATTTGGTTCCTTTGACAGGTGTGTGAACGAGGTTTGAAAGCCATCCCTCTCAGTGTTGATCTCTGGATCCACTACATCAACCTGCTGCTGGGAACGCTCAACATGAACCTGCCTGAGTCAATGCAGCGTATCCGCAGGTACCACTGACAAAAGAAACACTACCCTTGCAGCCTTTTTTTACGAGGATGCAATTTCAGCTTCCATTTTTATTCTATAATATTGTTAGATCCAGTTTCTAGATCTCTTTCTCCTTCTGGAAATAGCAGATTTTTTTCTGAAAGTCAGTCGGCACTTTTGCCAAGTTAACTTTACAAGCCAAGAGATAGATGCAGGGGAAGCGCAAGAGGCAGGAGATGACATGGTGATAGTATATGAGCGGAGTTTATTGAGTAACATTAGTTGCGTCTTTCTCAAAGCTCTGTCTGGCAAAATTCAACAAATTCGGCAAGTGGTTCTCCTTAACGTTATTCTTGTAAATGTTATTATCCTTAACATTTACAGCAAAGATGGACAATTAAGGCTGGAATACACTGCACAATTGTTGCTCAGATTTTTGGCCCAATTAACAGACTGTGCAAGTTGACACCGGTTGCCGAAATTTAGAACCAGTCTTCAGATTTGAGTTGACAGATTTCATAGGAAATCACGTAGTGTATAATGGGCCTTTTTTTTTTGCTTCAGACTATGAATTCGTCCTGTCAGAGCCAGAGGATCTCAAACATGCTTGATATTTTTTTAATCAATTTTAGAGCACATATTGTTTTCATTTGTAATGTTTCTGCATTAGTTTGTTGTGTTCAGAACAACCTGAAAGTCTGGTAGTCGGTTATCCTCAATCATTTAGTGTAGGATGCCCAGTTTTCCTCCGTAATCATTTACAAGTTGGCAAATAAATGATGCCTAGTGTTTTACAATCTGTTCAAATTTGAAAAGTTGTGAGTGTATTCCAGCCTTTAGGTAAAGCTTATCTAAAGGAAATTGTGATCATCTTTTTTTTTTTTTTATCCCTGTTGTGACGTATATCCAAGTGAAATGGCTTTTCAAACAAGAAGAAATACAGGGGTGGACTTATTTTGTCCATCTGGAATTGATTAGATCATTGTCATGTGCTAATTGCTGCATTCTCATGTGAGTGACTTGGTTGCTTGAGGTCACATGTCATCAGAAAAAAGCTGTGCAAGGGGGCAGGGATGTTCATGTTTTGCGTTAAAGATTACAAGGGCACATTATTTAAAAAAAATAATGAAAAAAATAAATATATACATGGATAAGTTATTTAAAATAAACATTGCAGTATTTAATAAAAAATAAGAGTGGTCAAATTTGATTTCATGGGAAGGTATTACCATGCTTTACAGCAATAAAACATAAAAAAAAAAAAACATAGCATGAAAAGTAATGTCCTGTCCTGTCCTGTCCTGTCCTCTCCTCAGTGTGTTTGAGGAGGCATTTGCAGCCGCTGGCTGGGACTTCCATTCAGACAGGCTGTGGGATCTGTACGCCGAGTGGGAGAAGGAGCAGGGCAACCTGAAGTTCACGACTGACGTCTACGACCGAGTACTGAGGGTCCCCACACAGCTCTACAACACACATTATGAAAAGTACTCTATGCTCATGAATCATATGTTATATGTGTTAACATAATTTTGTTCCTCGCACAACTCCTCAGATTTGAGGCACACAATCCACATACCACAAACACACACGCATGGATTTGTGAGAATTTTTTTACCATTTCTTCTCAAGCTCATATTCTGTGATCTCTTTCCCCCTTTATATTTAGATGCAGCTGAATGCATCAACAAAAGCCTAATTGGTAAACTGTCAAACACTTGCAGTTAAACACTTCAAATCCAGATCACCAAAATATCACAAAAATTATTTTGCTTTCAGAGTCCATAAAAATCATGATGACCCTTACGTTGAACAAGGCTGATGCTCTCTGAATTTCTGTCTCTTCTCTCAGACTGAAAACTCACCTAACCTCCCACCCACCTCAGGACGTCCTGTCCCCTGAGGAGTACAGTAAGGTGAGGAATGAGTACAAACAGAGCCAGATTCAAGCCAAAAAAGAGAGATCTGATATCTGCGCTGAGGAAGAAGAGAGACCACCAGGGGAGGAAGAGCC